AAGATTCAAATTTGATTATCTATGTGGTCGCCTGGTAGTATGTCTGCCCCTGTATGATAAAAATAGTATTATAGTTAATCTAACTCTTATTTATCTTGATCTAATGAGTTATTTAAACATTGATCTTATAATTCTAGTGCTAATAGCAGTATTTTTGCTGCTAGTGAATGTTAATCCTTTTTCAAATTGTTTTGATCAGCATTCTTTTGTCAAATATTCCATTAGTATTGAATTTATGAGATATTGTAGGACCCACCTAAATTAGATCAAAACTTTTAATAATTGGGAGCAATTTTTAGACCATGTCAGGAGATCTTCTAGCTCAGATAGAAGATGTCTCTTGCATTGAGAGGATCTCAGGCGACTATGTAGCTAATCCCAAATAGTTTCTTATGGTGGCCATTAATTTTTTATGTTTTGGTTAGTTATGCTGGCCGACCAATCTTATTCTGGAATTCATAAATCTTGAAGCTGCAGACTTCAAGACTTCCATTACTTTTATATTGGTATTTGGAGCATTTCTTGCTCTCACCTTTGATCAGTTTTCATTCATTTGTTATTGCATTGATCATATCTTTAAATCCTTATGTTAGGGCTGTTCATGGGTCGGGTTGGGTCGGTTTAGTGAAATTTTTCCAATCGACCTAACCTGATTGGGTTACCTGAAATTTAAACCGAAACTGACCCTATGTTAAGTAAAACCGACCTGGTCAGTTTGAGTCAAGTTGGTTCGGTTTGGGTCGGTTTTGGCTCTAAGTTCAACCATGGTAATAAATTGGTAGATTGGGCATCAGAAAAGTAGCTAGCAACATCATCCAGCAAGGAAAGCACATAAATTAAGAGAAAACAGGCCAATAACTTTGTAAAGCACATACAAAGTTGAGTTTATGTATCAAGAAAATAGAAAATCAAACTGTATTAGAGAAAGAAGACTAAAATTTGTATATTTCAAGAAACCTTCTAATCTAAGTAAAAAATGACACCTAATTCTAATTGTAATTAGTTGCATATTTGGTGTAAAAGACCATAGAAACTAGGATCCTTTGATTCTTTACTTTAAACTTGTCCAAAAAAATTCCTTGTCTAGTTGTCTTACAATACTTGCCATTAATGTCAATCCTAACTAGGAACTAACTACTAAGTCGGTTCGGATCGGGTCGATTTCGGTTTTCACACATGAAAACCGAAAATCGACCCAACCCATAGGTTTATGGTTTTTTACAACCCGAAACCGACCGGTACTGAAGAAAACCTGATCGACTCGGATTGGATTAATTCGGGTTGGTCGGTTTGGTCAGTTTAGTCGGGTTGGGTCTTCTTATGAACAGCCCTACCTTGTGCTTTGAAACAAATAATGTGGTTTGGACATGTGTTTTAGCATCTGTATTTACTTAGTAGTCATTTATTTATAATAGATGAAATGATACTTAGCCTTTTTAGCGGAGGAAATAGAGGAGCAGGAGTTGCTGCTAGAATTTCTTTTGCAGCTATAGCAAAGGAAACAAGAAGCTACTTATAAGCTGCATGATACCATTTGTTATCTGTCTTTGACATTGACGAAGTTCTGAAGCAACAGAAGCTTAAGAAAAAAAAAGGAGGTTTATACCTAGATGTGAACAAGGATGTTTTTAGCTACAGGCTATGACAAAAATCCCTTTGTTTTTCTTTCTTTTACTTTTGAACCTTCTAAACTAGCTGCTTCATTTTCTGTCCATTGCTAGTATGCCTTTATGGATGCTACAGAATATTTTGAGTTACTTTTGATATTCCAATTAATTACTTAGAATTCGGCCCATGTAACTTTAGCTACTATTCCTTTGCAAGTTCAACCAATATGTTAAGTGGATTTGCATTGGAATATGTGCTACATTATTAAAGAATTTGATTATTTTTTTTAAGTTTTTGTACTATTTATATTTCAATTGGATATTGTATTTGAACAATGTCTTTGGGATACTTTAATATATAATCTTTGAATTAATAGATTTCATTTTAAATTGATTTTTTATCAAATGGTTTTTCTGTATTAAATAGGTATGAAAATGCTAAATCAATAAACAATTCAGATATCACCAAATGTCAGAATTAACATGGTATAATTGTATAAATAAAAATGAGAAAAAAAAGAAATATAAGCTGACGGTCATGGAACCGCTTTACCCACAAACAACACCTAAGGTGGCGATCATTTAACACCTAAGCTGGTGGTTCGGACTGCCACCTAAGAATATAAGGGAATTTGGCAGAAATCTAAGGCAGCGATCTTTTGGTATCTAAGCCGGCGGTTAAAACCACCGCTTGATTAATGCTAAGCTGGCGGCTCGGTATGACCGCCGCTTCAGAGCAATTTCGACTGGCCATCTAAGGCGGCGGTCTTTTGCATCTAAGCCGGCGGTCCTAATATAGGGTGGCAGCTGATAAGGGGGCAGACGCTTGACCACCGCCTTAGGTCTAAGTCGGCAGTCTAAGGGCCTAAACTGGCGGTCCAGGCTTTGACCGTTTTTCTTGTAGTGCCTACAGAAGAGTCTCTTGCTCCTCCCATCATTACTAAGGTAACAAGTCAGCCTTCCTCTAACCCATCTACTTTTTTCCCAGACCTTAATCTTCCTATTGCTCTCCGCAAGGGCAAGCGGAAGTGTACAACCCATTGTATCTCCAAATACTTGTCTTATAGCCTTCTATCTCCTACCTACTACTCTTTTCTTGCTTTTGTTTCTTCCCATGTGATACCCTGGTCTGTACTAGAAGACTTATCTAAACCTAAATGGAGGGATGCTATGATAGATGAACTGGATGCTTTGCATAAGAACCATACCTGGGATATTGTTGACTTGCCTAAAGGGAAGGATCTAGTAGGTTGTAAATGGGTATTTGCCATTAAATATCACTCTGATGCTTCTATTGAGAGGTTTAAGGCCATACTGGTTGCTAAAAGTTACAATCAGATGTATGGTATTAACCATTTAGAGACATTTGCTCCTATGGCTAAGATGACCTCAGTCTGGGTTTTGTTATCTCTACCTGCTACTTTTGATTGACCTCTCCCCCATTTGATGTTAAAAATGCCTTTTTGAATGAAGATCTACATGAAGAGATCTATATGTCTTTACCTCCAGGGATGCATGGAAAGGAAATACAGGGGAAGGTGTGTAAACTGTAGAAATCCATTTATGGTCTCAAACAGTTTCATCGGGCTTGGTTTGAGAGGTTTAGGGTTGCTCTTGTTTCCTTTGGTTATATACAAACTCAATCTGATCATACCCTGTTCTTGAAAAGAAGTGACTCTCTGGTGACTTTTCTGATAGTTTATATTGATTATATTGGAAGATTGTATGTACTTGTTTCGACTAAAACTTCTCATGACAGACTTATTATTTGCTCTTAGGAGTTTTGAGCAGCTTAAACAATGGTTTTGGAACATACGCATGGATGGAGGAATGTAGATGAGCTTCACTTATCCTAATGAAAAGAAAGCTTAATCTTTGTACGGTGGGGACAAAACCCAATAATGAATGTAAATCCTTGGAGGGATTGCCCACCTTGCTACAAGTTCTTTCTTTTTTTTTTTTTGGAAAATGTAATGTAATTTTATTAGAAATAACAAGGTTGAAAAATAAAAGGGCAGGCTCAGCAAACTTAACCCAGCCCCAACAAATGTAACAACTCAATTACACCAAAGCTTTACAGACTATAGATAATCAAGATTGGCTGTTGAGCAAGGTCCCCTGTAACTACAGCCCAA